AAAAGGGCAACTCGAATGATAAAAGGGTTGGAACACTTTCCCTATGAGGAAAGTTTAAAGCGCTTAAGGGCTCTTTAGCTTGGAGAAACGACGACTGAGAGGTGACATGATCGAGGTTTATAAGATTATGAATGGGATAGAGCAGGTATGGAAAGAGGTACTTTTCTCCCCTTCTCACAATACACTCCATGAAATTGCTGAGCGGTCGGGTTAGAATGGATAAAAGGAAGTACTTCTTCACCCAAAGAGTGATTAACACATGGAATTAACTGCCACAGGTGCATGGATGGCTTCAAGAGGGAACTGGATAAGCACATGGAGCAGAGGTCCATCAGTGGCTATTAGCCACAAGTAATAGATAGGGGCTCTGGGGCAAGTGATGCTCTGTCTTCTTGGTGCTTGGGGGGGGTCAACAGTGGGAGGGCTTCTAGTGTCCTGGCCCCACTGCTGGACCTTCTGGTGGCTCCTGGTATTTCTGGCCACTGTGTGACACAGAGTGTTGGACTGGATGGGCCATTGGCCTGATCCCACATTGGCGTCTCTTATGTTCTTATGTAAGTTTTTGCTTCCTGACGGGCCACTGACGAACTTTTCCCCGTCTGATCGTTCCATCCCGCAATCGGCCTATTGGGATGGTCTGACATCAGACCATCCTGAGCGGCCACCATTTAAAAAAATTATTAGCGATATGCGCATAAACGCATAAACGTGCGACAGCCACAGAGCTCCGCTCAAACGTTCCGGACAATTTCATGTTTCTAAACGGCCTGTGAATTTTATGAACCGCATGAATTAAAAAGGTACCTAGAGGGAGGTACTGTTGGGATGAGCGTCCATTTTGGAAATATATTCTATGGACTATGCCTTAATAAAGCTTGATACTGAATGGACTGTTGGGCTGCTAGACGAAAGGCTGTGGAATAGAAAGTTCAACAGAAGGGCACCTAAGAGACGATACCAGCTGTGAGCGATAATCATCTAAGCTAACATCGATCTAGAAGGGCCCCGGAGCTATCAGCACTCATCATATATGCTAATACAGAGTAGCAGCAAAAACAATGAACTCGGTAGTCAGCCCAGACCAAGTGTCTCCGCTTTGACAAGCTTAACATCAGATGTTCTACCCTGCCAGACCACAATGGAAATCCATTACACATAGCAACAGACACGTCAGCATTACTGATGACCCGGCACGTATCTTCTGCCTCCGCCCAGGCACCTCCCCGTTAGTTAATCAATAGAGTGGAAATTGACCCCATAGCCAATCCCTAACCTTTGGGGTAGGGCTATTAGATAATCCGCTTGAGCCCACCCCTCTTCCCCTCGCAAGAAAGTTTAAAACATTGAACACGGAGCTGTCAGCCATCTTCTTCTCCATCTTCTCCTTCCCCCTCGTCATCGACCTCTCTTGTCTGCTTATCCTCTTATGTTCAACTTGCTGTACGAACCCCCGAATACCGCTTTGCCTTAGTCTGCAGCTAAGGTCAATCCACGTGTCTCTGGCTGGTCTAGTTTCACGTGTTTCTTACCCTTTTCTACCCTCCTGTCCTCATCCCCGCTGGAAGTTTAGGAGCTGAGCCACATCAAGGGTAAATATACTTCATCGACGATACCAACGACCTTCCTGCTAAAGCAATTGTGCTATAAATCATTCTAACTGCTTTTCCTAGTTCTTGTGTGCTTGTGTGGTTTTATTATTATTCTTGCATGCTTGAACTTTAATTCAGTAAAAGACTGTTACTTTTACTCCAGTTGTCGTCTCTTCATTGAAGCGCCACGGTACAGCCCATCCTTCGTAGACACAGACCAGTAACCTGTTAATTAAACTGTTCCAATTGTCTCTCCTAAAGAGCAATTCGGCTAACAGTACTACTGCTGGTGCTTTAACCATTCAAGTCCACGCATGCGCGGAAAAACAAGTACACGTTGAGGTGCGGATGCGCATGCGCAAACAGATTTTTTTGTAAAAAAACCCGACCGCGTGGCTCCTTCAGGCAGATGCCGTCTAGACAATCCATTGTGGGGTATGCGTGCGGTAAGGGAAGCTGTCTAGTCATGCAATGCCAGATAAAAAAGATCAGGATGAAATTAGAGCCAGGCCAATTGTGGTATTGGAGCTGCGGTGGCTCAAGTGGTTAAGACGCTGAACTGCAGGCTGTGGAAGGTTGGTAGTTCAGCAGTTCGAGACCCGAGTTTGCCACATGACTGAGTGAGCTCCCGTCTCTAGTTCCAGCTCCTGCCAACCTAGCAGTTCGAAAGCAAGAAATTGCAAATAGATAAATAAGTACCACTTTGGTGGGAAGGGAACAGCGTTCCGTGTGCCTTGGTGTTTAGTCATGCCGGCTACATGACCACGGAAACGTCTTCGGACAGCGCTGGCTCTTCGGCTTGGAAACGGAGATGAGCACCGCAACCCTAGAGTCGGATTCGACTGGCTTTCGAGCAAAGGAACCTTTACTTTTACTTTAATTGTGGTATTAGCTGTCCATCTGAAAGCACCCTTAGAGGCCATGGAGTTGAACCCACCTGCTCAGTGCAGTCCAATGCTAGAGCATTCCCAATGGGGCGGCTGTCCAAACCTACCACCCCGTAGTTAGTGGGCTCCCTTGTCAAACTACTCTCCTCGACAGAAAGTTCCTCCCATTGGTCAACCAAAGCCTAGCCTCCTGCCGCTGAAGACCAATAATTTCTTTCCCTTCATTTCACCCCAGTGGGGACTGAAAGCAGCTGACGTCCTTCTCCTCTTCTCTGTTTTATGCTCACAACAACCCTGTGAGGAAGTCTAGGCTAAGAGTGTGTGGCCCAAGGTCACCCAGCAAGCTTTCGCCCTGGCCTCAGCAGTCAGTAGAGAACAAGTCCTTGCTCTCTTAAGGAGGGGCTGTGGCTCAGTGGCAGAGCATCTGCTTGGCATGCAGAAGGTCCCAGGTTCAATCCCCGACAGCATCTCCAGTTGAAAGCACCAGGCAGGAGGTGACGGGAAAGACCTCCACCTGAGACCCTGGAGAGCTCTAAAGAGGGGTGTGGCTCAGTGGTAGAGCCTCTCCTTGGCGTGCAGAAGGTCCCAGGTTCAATCCCCGACAGCATCTCCAGTTGAAAGCACCAGGCAGGAGGTGACGGGAAAAACCCTCTGCCAGAGACCCTGGAGAGCTGTGAAGAGGGGGCGTGGCTCAGTGGAAGAGACTCTGCCTGGCATGCAGGAGGTCCCAGGTTCAGTCCCCAGCAGCATCTCCAGTGAAAAGGACCAGCCATTAGGTGATGGGAAAGACGTCAGCCTGAGACCCTGGAGAGCTGCTGCTGGTCTGAGTGGACAGTACTGACTCTGATGGACCCAGGGTCTGATTCAGTATAAGGCATCTTCGTGTGTTCATGTGACGTCTTCCCTCCTGGCAATACATGCCCAGGTCCTTCATCCTTTCTTCGAAGCTTCTCTGGATCCTCCAGCAACTTTGCTGTCCTCCTTGGAGCCCCTCCCAATTCGTTTGTATCTTTCTTTGAGAGCCAG